GTCCAGTGCAGGGTCGGGCCGCCGTCGGGGAGCGCCGCCATGCACTGGTAGCCGAGCGGCGACGGCGTGCATGCCTGCGGCAGCCCCGCGGGCGCGCCGCCGCGCGCGCCGATGGCGGCGTTCTCGTCCGATAGCAGCGCGAGGATCGGGCAGTTGACGACGAACCCGGCGCGCGCCAGGGGCGGGTTGGTGGCCGGCGCCGCGGGGTCGAAGGACGCGATCTTGCCCTGGCTGGCCAGCCGCTGGATGTCAGAGATGGAGGTCTGGCGGGGGCCGGGCTGGGGGGTGGTCCACTTGGCCAGCTCGGCCGCCCACATCGGGGTGTAGTCGGGCTGATTATGAGGGAAGGCAGGGGACAGAGCGGCGGTGCACAAGAATTTTGATGTCTGATTTGCGGGTTTTGGCTACGGGACACAACAGTCAGGCGGCGACCTGCGCCGCTGGTGCCGGCGCTCTGCGTTGCGGCATGCACAAAGCGCGTCCCGATGCCTCAGCAGCAAGTTTTGGTCGCTCCATTCATTCCCTCCCGCTGCTGCTTTGGGCCGACAGATAGCCTGGCGCCGGCGGCGGCAGGCAGCTGCGCGCCTCCCCACCTGCCCGGGGAAGCTCTGCAGCACGTTCAAGGGGCTCAGGCCGTCCTTGATGGCCGACGCCAGCCCCTGCCGCTGCATGTTCTCCGCGCCCGTCGCGCCGTTGGTGAAGGCGACGAGGCCGGCCAGGGCCGCGGGCGGGGTGGCCCCTATCGCGGGGGCGAGGGGCACATTCTCGAGGGCGGCAGCCAATGGGTCTGATGCGTCGGTTGACAAGTAAATGACCTCGCGGCCCTGTTCACAGGGAGGGGATGTGAGGTGGGGGCTGGGGTTTGGAGCTGGGGGAATTTGGTGAGCGACGGGTGACAAGGAGGGGGGCAGCGGGCAGCGGCGGGGCGGCCAGTCCGGCGGGTCGTGCGCGGGGGCAGCGGGCGAGGGCAGCTGCAGGTCAAGGCCGACGGGGCGGCTGCACGCAGCCCTCGATGGCGCACGCCGAGCCAGAGATTGTTTCAAAGCAAACACGTCCAGGCTACAACCACCTCCACGCACTGCGCGCTGCGCATGCCGACAATTCAAGGCAGCTGCGCCTGCGCCCACCTGGGCGTAGCCGTGCGTGGTGGCCAGCACAACCTTGGTGTAACCCTGGTTGAACCGCACCACGCGCCCCGCCTGCCCCACCAGCTTGTCGCCCTGCAGCACCCCCACGTGTGGCGCGTTGAGCACAACGCCGCCCACCGCGGCCAGAGGGGAGTACCCAGGTAGCGCCTTTGGCCCGGGGCTGAAGCTCGACGGCGGGAACGCCGTCGGCCCGGGCGTCACGCTGCGGTTGCCGGCTGCAAAGTCGACGGTCGCGGCGAACTCCAGGTTGCCGCCGGCGCAGGTCGGCATGCCGCCGGCGGCGCTCGCGTTCTGGGCGGCGCGCGACGCGGCCGCGGCCGCGAGCGGCGGCGCGAGGTTGGCGCCCCACGCCTCGGCCGCGGCGGCAGTGGACGCGTCGATCACGATGTACAGGATTGTTGTATTGCGCGATCCGCGCAGCCGGCCCTTGCACAGCGGCAGCACAACGTTATTATCGTCGACGTCGATCTTGGCGCGGGGCACAAAGAGCGTCTGGATGCGGCTGTTCGCGGCGTCCGCAGTGGGGGCGCCAGGAACGGGGGCGGCGACAGCAGCGCGCAGAACCGAGCTGTGGCAGCATATGATTATTGATAATATCAAGAAGCCTGTGTAAGAGCCCATTGGGCGGTAAAACCTTGCTGATGGGGGACGGACGGTCACTGTCGTGGAACGGGAGCCCAATAACGTAGTCAAGACGAGAGCAGGCTTTGCACCGAAGCAGGGCAACAGGGGCTGCATAAACAGTGCAGCCTGCTTGCCACCTCCTCCAGTGCCAACCAGGTTTACTATTGGCTTCGAGTGTGAGGGGAGGGCACGCGGCGGGGGGTGGATCCGCGTCGACTCAGTGGATGGTACGGAGTTAACTTCTTAGAGCTCACATCCAGAGTTCACATGTGCACGGCCTTCACCGCCGCTGCAGCGAGTCACACGGGCGTGCCACGTGCTGGTGACGACATTTTTGGTCAGCCCATATTTTGGTCACGGCGTCTTGGGGGAGCTCGTTGCACTATACCTTGCATGCGGCCACCTACTCAACAGCCTTAGCAACCTGGCAAACAAGCTAGCATGCCTTGCACCCTCACTCGCATGCCGAGCAGGACCTCTCAGCTTGTGTGCGGTTAAACGGCAGTCGAGCGGGCGCCCTGGACGCCCCCCCTTTTTGATGTCACACCCGTGTGCAAAGTTTGGCCCTGCCCCCAGCATCCACTCGCAGGTCCCAGACCTTGCACGGTTTACAAGTCCCGCTCCTGAACTTCCCTATGGTCGCCCTAACACACCCGGCGGACGCCCCCGTTTGCAGCTGCGGGACTGGCCGGACGCCTTACCCCTGCTCTACCTCTGTTTCCAGTCGACCTAGCCCGTTCGTCCCTGCACCACCCTGATCCTGTTATGCTGTCATATCCTCGTTGCTCTTTCATAACCCATCTTTCCTCATTCCTCTTGCCCCCGACCCGCGTTGAGCCGCCAGTGCCGCTGCTGGTCTCCAAGCAGTCGACCACGGGATCTTGCAACAATCCTAATCCTACTCCACGAGGGTTGGATCGGCTCTCGCACCTGCAAGCGTGTTCCCTCTCATTCAAGCCTGGTCGCTCTCAACTTGTCGGCACAGCACCTTGATCCCGAGCAATGTGGGTTCGTTCTGTGCACGCCAGGTCCGGGTCAGCACCTCTCCATATTGCAGCCCCAGTCGTATGGTCCGAGGTGGATGTTACAACTGGTATGGCATGGCGGCCACCCGGACTAAGCGGGACAAGGAGCAAGCGCCAGGCAGCGGAGGCGATGAGGAAGGGGTGGCGATGTGGCAGGGGCCGTCAACAAAATGCCATCTAGACGCCAGAATGGCAGGGCGATGTGATGGTCGGCTGCCCGCAGCGTGAGCCAGCAGGGGGGGCGGGGACAGCAAGCAAATCCGTGTGCGCGCCCCATGTCGCTGCGCAATCGGCCAGCAGGAAGACTCGACGTTGGTTGACAAAGCGAGTGGGTAAGAAAGCGAGCCCAGGAAGGAAGCTTGCCAAGCAAACAATCAAACAGTGCTGTGAAAAACCATTTCTCAAGCAAGGATGGTGAAGAGGCATTATGAGGCTTTGATGTGAAGCACAACCCTACAAGTCTCTTGTCCTAAGCACATGGTTGGTGAGAGTTTAGCTGATACAAGCGTGCCGCTAAACGAACGCATCTTGTTGCCCTATTGTATGAAAATGGGGCGGTACATGGGCTCGGCGCCAATTCAGACGGACGACGGCCTTCGTCATTGAGTAACATTGGGCAGGACAGCCCGCCGCGCAGCAAAAAGCATTCGGTTTGACTTGACTGACAATCCGCAGCAAAGGCGCAGGCGCAGACGTGCGGCGCCGAGGCGGCGCCTCGCTGCACCCCTCTCGCACCCATGGCAGCGGCGGCCTCGCTCACGTGGTGGCACTCGGTGTACTGCTCGAGATCAGGCACATTCAGGAATGGGCGCCAGGGAGGCCACTGTGGTCATGCAGCCCTTCTTGCGCGCCGTGCGGCGCCGCCTCCTGCGCGCACGCGCAGCAATCCCAAGTCAACAGGTGGGAAATGCAGCTCCAACCCTGACAGCGGGAGGGCAGGCGGCCTTGTGCTCGCAGTGAAGTTCACGCCTTCGCCTCGTGGCCACCGCTGGGGCCGGCGCCGCTGCCGTCGCCGCTGCCTCTGGCGCTGTCGCTGTCAGCGCCGCTGCCCCACACGGCGCCCCGCATGTCAGCCCGTTCCGCCGCTGAGGTTCCGGTCGGCCTGGCCGGACCAGTGACCTGGACGGACCTTAGTTGCTGCTCCATCGTGACCAGCCGCTCCGCCAGCTGCCGCACATCCGCCCGCAGGTCGCCCTGCTGCTGCCGCAGCTCGGCCTGCAGGCCGGCCTTCATCTCGGCCAGGCCGGCCTTCATCTCGGCCTGCAGGCCGGCCTTCATCTCGGCCAGCAGCTGCTGCAGCAGGTGGCATATCGCCCACCAAATGATGGGTGCAGACACGATAGCCAAGGCGAACCACAGGCCAGAGTTTCCTGCCGCGCGGGGGCGACATGAGTTCGTGAGGCGTAGAGCAGCATCGGTGTACAACACAGGGCCCGCGTAGCACAAGCAGCGGCCAGGGACGCTCCGCGGCGTTCTTCCCCTCCTGGCACCCGCCCTGCAGGCGACCTACACGGACCCCAGCTAATGACACACCGTAATCCATCTGCTTTTGGTGCTCCAAAAATAGTCGGCGGACGTGCTGAGATTGGCTCTGCCCAGCTGGGGAACAGGTGTGTTGCACCGGTATGATTGTTGCCCAAACGTTTGGTAAATATTTCGCGATCAAACAATACACTCTGCAGCCCCGAACGATGTAATACTCGAGGCCGCTGGGTCCCTGCAAATCGGCATGTTGGCCCCCTGCACCTCACTGGTGCCGCGGATACTGATAGTTCATATTTATCACAGAACGCCCCCGGCCCGTCCCGACGTCCCGATGCCCAGAGCGCCCCGCGCCCGCGCCCCCGCGCGCGCCCACCATACATCAGAACACAGCCAGCAGCCACGATGGTCCCCCGTCTTGATGTAAAGTTCCCCGGTTCTTAAGGGAAGACAACAAAACAGGGCACATGCAGCTGTGCGAGTGCATAACCTTGAAACGACCCAATATACGACCGCCCATGTCGCACAAAGGATGCGTGCCTGGACGCCCCATCCATCATCGATGCGGCGCTGGTCAGCTGACACTCTCAGGCCAAAGGGACGCCCGCCCTCCGCCAACGAATGCCCCTGTTACTCCTCCCCCGCCATGTCCGCCGCGGGCGCCGCATCCCCCTCCGGCGCCGCCGCATCAGCATCCCTCGCCGCCGCCGCCGCCAGTCGCGCCGCCGCGTGCAGCTCGCAGCCGCGCTTGAACGCGGACGCGTCCCAGACCACCGCCAGCCGCTCGCCCTCCCCGAGCGCAGCCGCCGCCGCCGCAGCGCGCGCCGCAGCGCCCGCCGAGCCCTTCCGCAGCTCCGGCCCCGCCGCCGCCGTCTCCGCCGGTGCCGCCGCTGCATCCCCCTCCTCTGGCTGCTGCCCCTGCCGTCGCTCCGCGCCGCCGCGGACCAGCACGGCCAGCTTGCGGCGGCCGGGGCCCGGCGCCAGCACGCGCCGCGCAAACGCCGCCAGGTCGGCGCGCGTCAGCCGCCGCAGCTCCGCCACCTCAGCTTCCTGGGGAGGGGAAGTCGCCAGGAGCGGCGTGGCGCAAGAATGCGTCAGGGGGCGGGGGCGCTCGCCAACCTTCATACCTCAGCTTAAGCAGCACCATCGAACCTCGATTTCCAGCGGGGCGCTCGCCAGGCGCGAGGGGAGTCGGGGGCGGCAACCAGGGCGCGCGCCGGGCGGGCTGTCTTGTGTCTTTCGGGGCCGCCCTTTGCAGCAACGGGCGGGGCCTCACCTGCCGGTCGAACCTCAGGGAGCCGCGATAGACCTCGCCCCACCACCTACGCGGCGGGCGTGCCGATTCAGAAACGCGGCGAGCATTGAAAGGGGGGGGACGCGGCGGGCGGCGCTGCTGACGGCGCCCTTGCTGGAGCCAGGGGCGGCGGCGGGTGGCGCCGCCGCCAGCTGCACGGCGCAGGATCGCCGGCGTCGCGCCTATCCCCGCCCGTCCGCAGCCGTCGCGCCGCTCGGGCCTCACCGCGCTGCGCCCCCTGCCCTGCACGCCCCCCGCACTTCACGCCTCGACCCCACGCGGCCGCGCGCCGCACCAGTCCCCCAAACACCCCCCGCGCCGTCTACCCCTCGACCCCTCACGGCCCTGCGCCGCACCTCTGCGCGAGCTCCCCCAGCCTCTTGGGCTTCTCCAGCTTTGCCTTGGCCAGCTCCTCCACCCCGCTGGCAAACTCCGACTGGGGGAGGGGTATGTTCCAACACGGTGGCGGCAGAGGCGACGTGGGGGCGCGACACGGCCATGACGGTGCAGCGGCGGGTCTGGCGGGAGCACGCGGCTGGCCGGGGCTTGCGGGCCGCCGCCAGCGGCCCGAGGCCAAATAAGCCACTCAGGGGTATTGTCGGCGACGCCGGCTGTGAGCGCAGCCCCCGCGGGGTCCGCGTTGCAGGGGCCTGCGTGCGGCCGCACACTCCTCTTCTTCAGCACCCATGCACGTTTACGCCCGCTCCCACCCCCCAAACCCACCTCTGGAATGTCCTCCAGCCGCGCCAGCAGCTGCCGGACAAACGCCTCCGACCGCGCGGCGAGGTGCGCCGCGCTGTGCTTGTCGCTCTGCGCGGGGCGCAAGGACGGGCAGTGTGGACGACACAGGCGATGACCGGCAACGCGAGAAGGGCGCGATGTTTCGATCGGGAACCAGGTGAATCAAAACTTTGCCAAAGGTGCAGCTTGACAGAACGGGCTGCCACTCCAGCAAAGGGGGGAGCGCGCAACAAGGCACGCACGACACGCGCGGCAGCGAAACGCGCGCCGCCGGCGGCGCCGCCGGCGGGTGCGCGCCTGCAGTACGAAGGCGATGCCGTGCACCCCCAGCTCCTGCGACAAAAACATTGATACGATGTAGCCCAACTGTGGGGGTGGGTGGGTG